CCTGCTGCCTCTTCGCTTGCTCACTGTGGCAGCCTCCAAACCCACTAGTGCTGCTACAGTCGACATCCAGGCGGTGCTCCCATGGATCAGTATCAGCCTGCTGAGACATCAGGGATGGAGGGAGGTGTTACTGAGCAATCCTTATTTCATACTTCTGTGCCAGTGCGATTAAGCTTATACATATGTTCAGCTTTCAATATGAGAAGCTGCCTTGATTTCAGTGAGATGGGCTTAATCACATTCTTAAGTGTTTCATAGATCTTTTTACCCACTAGATGTAAATAGAGCCTATCTAAGTAGAGCGCGTGAGCCACACATACGCTGTTAGTTGCTTGGAATCCTGTGATTTTAATTCCGAACACAGTCATTACCAAGTGCCTTTCCATACTGCTGAGATATTTTGGTTTAGACTCCATTTTTTTATTTTTGTGTTGACCTAGATTTTTTTCATTTGGTCGATGGTAATTGCAGTTAGCACTCGCTAGGTTCAAGCATCATTTTTGCTTCCAAACTATTCACTTATTTACTCCATGTTACAATAAAAAAGTAGCAATAATTGTTTACAAACTGCCAGATTTAAGAACAGGGCCCGTAGGACTGAATATTCAAAACCAGCTACTGCAATTACCAGTGTGTTTAACTTGAACAGGGTTTTTTTGAAAAATCACGGCTCCCTTAAGGACTGCAACACTGAGTTCTCTTACTCAACACTCGATCAGAACGATGATGATGTAACAGATACCCTGGCATAGTTGTGATAGCTGTGGATAGAGGATCTGACACAACTGGTTCCCAGTGCTTTGGTCTGGTTTTCCTTTTGGCGATAATACAGAGTTAAATTTTATGGGCAACGAGTTCTTTTCACCCAAGTGGCCACTCAGGTCAACCAGCATGACTTTCTGTATTATGTATATTGTATAGATTTATGTAGATCTGATGTCTATTTAATCACTGCCCAATTTCGATCTTAGAACTTCTTGTTGTTTAAGTATGCATAACAGCCCTTTCAAGTGTGACCTTTCTGTTGGTATGTATCTTGGGAACAAAAGAAGGATTTCATAATGAACAGCCTTGCCATAATGAGTCATTATTTTTTAAAAATACAGCAACTATCTTAAGCAAATGTCATAATATATATTCTGTGGTCAGCACCAATTTGGACGAATTAATCTGCATTCCACACTAAAATACTAGTGTGCTAATACAAGATGACAATTGTTCTAGTTGTTTCAGTGGGATTTTTTCACTGTCTTCTGTCCAGTCAGGCAAGTTCTCCCACATTACTTGGGAGATGAAAAGTGACTAGATTTTAAATAAGTCAAATTTCGCACAAAGAAGCGTAACAAATTCAACTATGGGGAATAAAATACACTTCACTGAGTAGAGATCTGTTGTTTGATTTATGGAGATTAAATTTAGGTGGCTTATTTTATGTTTCATAATTATTTATCTGTA